GTTGAGGTCTACCTATGTCAATTACAGGCCTCTCTCATCTTTTTAAGTGGGAGAACTTGCACAATTGGTGACTGACTAAATACTTAGTATAAAAATGTTTTACTTTCTTTGTTTTCATTACATTGTTCTTTAATGCTCCCATATGGACAGAGCACCAGAAAATATACCTTCATATTAGCAAATCAAAAGATGTGATGTGCAATCAATAAAGGAATAAAAAGAAACATAGAAAAGTTTAATTTGTTGTTGCGGCTATAAACATATCGATTATAATTATGAAACAAAATTAAATTTAATAAACCAGTGAACCATGGAGTCAGCCTGACATATTTTATGGGTTTTGTTTAACAGTTCAAAGCACTTCCACAGCAAGGGCGGTTCTAGGGGCGGGGCCACAGGGGCATTGGCCCCAGCTGAAATCTGATTGGCCCCCTGTCCTGTCACTCATCTGTCCTTCACCTGGGGGTGATGATGGTGGATGCAGTTCCATGTTCAAACACTAGTGGCGCTAATGAGACAAATTATAAAGTCCAGAAAGAATCAAGCTCACAACATGCTCTTCTTAAAATGTGAACAATCCTGCAAAAAAAAAAAAAAAAAAAAAAAAAAGTCTTTCAACTGACAAATGATGGCTGGATTTTCTCGCATGTGTGTTTGAAAATATTTTATCTATGCTCAGTAAAATGTATGAAAAACTGGTGAGAATTTACTGTGCAAGCTTTTTGGTACTACTTTACAATCAAGCTCCCCTTATAGATGGCTTATAGAGTTTATAGATAAGTTATTAATTCATTTGTAAAGTTTATACTTCATAAATCATTAATAAATGAAACTGGACAATTTAGTCTCTTTTTCATCCTAATTATTGCATTACAAACACTTAATAATTTAAAGTGTTTACAGATTAATTAATAACTTATCTATAAACTCTTTAAAAGCCATCTACAAGGGGAGTCTTATTGTAAAGTGGTACCTTTTTTAAAAATAATTACATTACATTACAAGTGTTGAAGTGTAAAATGTATACACTGGGAATTTGTGTGAAAGGATGTTGAACAAATACTTGGCACCTCTATGAACATTGTGGCCCCTTACTCAGAAAAATCCTAGATCCTCCATTGTTCCACAGTCAGGATTAAAAATAATAAAACAAATAAGTTACAATACATCACAGTAAACTTAAATATTAAGGCAGGGAACATTCAGAACAAGTGTAAATCCAAACTGGTTAGATTAGGTATTAATTCAAAAAATCTTATATTTACAAATGAAATCACAAGCTGGTGTCATGCCATTTCACACACTTTACAATTTTATTCATCAAAATCATTTATTGAATTCCCATACCTTGCATTTCACCTTCAAAAAAATTTAAATAGAATAAAATTTTGAAAAGCACAACAGCTCAGCTGACAGAAATGTCACAACTCTGCTCCGCTGCATGAACCACCATGATGATGTTATTCCAGGTTCTAGTTTAAGCTGCTCTGTATAATTCTGGCTATAGAAGACTGGGCTTAAAAAGCTTCCAGTTATGTCCAAAACAAGCTTCATTTGGCCATGGAAAAAGAATCAAACCAAGTGTTTATACAGTTGTGGTCAAAAGTTTACATACACTTGTAAAGAAACATAATGTTATGGCTGTCTTGAGTTTTCAATAAGTTCTACAACTCTTATTTTTCTGTGATAGAGTGATCGGAACACATACATGTTTGTCACAAAAAACAGTCATAAAATTTGGTTCTTTCATAAATTTATTATGGGTCTGCTGAAAATGTCACCAAATCTGCTGGGTCAAAAATATACATACAGCAACAAAATTTGTCAATTTTGGTGATGTAGCGAGTTGTGTCAATCAAATTAGCTTCATGTCATGGCCTCTTCACTTCTTGTAAGTGATTCTGATTGACTACAGCTGTTGACTTCTCATGAGCCCATTTAAATAGGGCTCATTTGACCCAGTGATTAGAGTCAGCTACAAAAGCTACAATGGGAAAGTCAAAGGAACTCAGTGTGGATCTGAAAAAGCGAATTATTGACTTGAACAAGTCAGGGAAGTCACTTGGAGCCATTTCAAAGCAGCTACAGGTCCCAAGAGCAACTGTGCAGACAATTATACGCAAGTATAAAGTGCATGGAACAGTTGTGTCACTGCCACGATCAGGAAGAAAACGCAAGCTATCACATGCTGCCGAGAGGAGATTGGTCAGGATGGTCAAGAGTCAACCAAGAATCACCAAGAAGCAGGTCTGCAAGGATTTGGAAGCTGATGGAACACAGGTGTCAGTCTCCACAGTCAAGCGTGTTTTACATCGCCATGGACTGAGAGGCTGCCGTGCAAGAAAGAAGCCCTTGCTCCAGAAAAGGCACCTTAAGACTCGGCTGAAGTTTGCTGCTGATCACATGGACAAAGATAAAACCTTCTGGAGGAAAGTTCTCTGGTCAGACGAAACAAAAATTGAGCTGTTTGGCCACAACACCCAGCAATATGTTTGGAGGAGAAAAGGTGAGGCCTTTAATCCCAGGAACACCATGCCTACTGTCAAGCATGGTGGTGGTAGTATTATGCTCTGGGGATGTTTTGCTGCCAGTGGAACTGGTTCTTTGCAGAAAGTAAATGGGATAATGAAGAAGGAGGATTACCTCCAAATTCTGCAGGAAAACTTAAAACCATCAGCCCGAAGGTTGGGTCTTGGGCGCAGTTGGGTGTTCCAACAAGACAATGACCCAAAACACACATCAAAAGTGGTAAAGGAATGGCTAAACCAGGCTAGAATTAAGGTTTTAGAATGGCCTTCCCAAAGTCCTGACTTAAACCCCATTGAGAACATGTGGACAGTGCTAAAGAAACAGGTTCATGCAAGAAAACCATCACATTTAGCTGAACTGCACCAATTCTGTCAAGAAGAGTGGTCAAACATTCGACCTGAAGCTTGCCAGGAGCTTGTGGATGGCTACCAAAAGCGCCTAGTTGCCGTGAAAATGGCCAAGGGACATGTAACCAAATACTAATGTTGCTGTATGTATATTTTTGACCCAGCAGATTTGGTGACATTTTCAGCAGACCCATAATAAATTTATGAAAGAACCAAATTTTATGACTGTTTTTTGTGACAAACATGTATGTGTTCCGATCACTCTATCACAGAAAAATAAGAGTTGTAGAACTTATTGAAAACTCAAGACAGCCATAACATTATGTTTTTTTACAAGTGTATGTAAACTTTTGACCACAACTGTATCTTTATTTTAAATACTATTGTCCACACTTCATTCTGGTTTGCACACATTTATTCATTTGTACAAGCTCTTACATTCCAGACACACATTTACAACATTCAACACTTATCTAAAAGAAAAAAAAAGATTACATCAAAATTTTTTTAAAAAAAATTAAAATTCATATCATTTATTACAGACTTAGACACAACGGACCACCAGTAAAAACCATTAATCATCCTACACCAGGTCATAGTGTTAATATACTAGAAGACATGAGTCTCTGCTGTTTGGGCTTAAGACAAATACAGATTCAAGAACATTTAAAAAGTGTTTGCCTCATGTTTAAACACCGACTAAAACCACAAGTTTTCTGACTGCATGTTATAATCAGACATGAATGATTTAATATAACTATATGGATTTTAAGTTTTGTTATAATGCGTTTATTAAGTAAATTCTTGAATTTTTGCCTTAAACACATCTTTCAGGGATTTGAGTTTAGACTATTAGTGCAAATTAACTTTGTTTGGTTTTGGCCAAAATTGATCAAATTTCCTCGAGGTATTCCTGAGATATCACAAGAAAGAGACATATCCAAAAAATAAGACAAACAATTGGAGATCGTCAAGCATTCAGCTGCAACTGAGATACAAAAACAACTGGTGTAGATGTTTGAAAGCTCTCCAATGAGGGGCTACACGTCCAAGCTAAAAAGTGCAACAAAGATTTTGGAGGTATTCTTCACAAAACATACATACCGCTGTCTAATGTTTTTTTTTTTTTGGGAATTTTCTTACCTTTAATACCAAGGTTTCATCTAACTCAAAAAACTTCAAAAATCATTCATAGACATAAATAAAAAGCGAAGGTAGATATGATTTAATAAGTTACAGCCCCACACATATTTACACAAACGCCCCAAAACGGTTCCCTAAAACCACAAACTTCTTAATATATAGTTAAATATTACCAACATGAAAACAGATGGTTTTATAATTAGTGATAAGTGACTTTTGGCACTGGTTAGAGATGCACTTTTCTCCTTCACAACACTGGTAAAAAAAAGGAAAACAGGACAGGTTGGGATTGTCAGGTCTCATCTAAGCAAATTTTAAAAAACAACCACATTTACCTCCCTTCAATTGACTTGAGTGTAAATGTGATTTTTTTTTAATATGGTATTTAAAACATTTAAACGAGGAAAAATGACACACTGGTAGGGGAGTCAAGACATATATTTAAAAGGGTTAAAACTGATGTTAAGGCTGTTTTCTTATCTGAACAAACCTGGTAATAAGTTGAAATGCGGAACTATTCATAAAAAATGCTTTTGTTTTTAAATATTAAAATGTTGCTGGAAGATGTGATGCTACTAAGACAACTAAAACCTTCAAGAATAAATACTTCAACTTCTGTTGTAGTTCGCTGAATTTCATGGACACAGATGTAAACATGTTTTCACCGAGTCTACTTTTAAAAAGACAGGATGAGCTCAAAGCGGAGGGGATCTCAAGTTGTCTGAAACCAGGCTAACTACACCAGATCTGTCTGTAACAGAGTGTCTAACCCACCATTTTAAATCCTAATTTACTCACTCATACGCACGCACACACCAGTTACACGCTGGACTGGGGTGAAATCATGTGTGTCATGTACAACCCTAACAAGCATAACAAATACCTAAAGAAGCTACATTTGTTCTCAAATTAAAAAATACCCAAGTTTAACCATTTAAACTTTGTGACCAAAACTTGCAGATATATTGGATATTTAATCGACAGAATACCTCAGGCATTAATGCATTGAACAGTAAGCTCTACAAACACAGTCGTTGGTCACTAAATAAAGCTAAGAATGACTTCTTTCAAGTAACAAAATAAAATGTCAAAGAAACTGGTTCAAGCTGCTAGCGGTTCATGGCGCAGGTGCATTTTAGAAAAGCTGCTAAAACCAAGTTTTGAACAAGAATCGTGCAAAGTGTGATACAAGCACAGAGTTAGGCATGGTTGTTCCCAAGAGTCTTCTGAACAGTCCAACCTGATTGGCCATTTAAAATCCAAGATGGGGCCATTTTTCAAATTTGCTGACAAAATGGTTGCTGGCTGGACACGTGGAAGATCTGTTGGACCACTATCATTTGTCATAAATCACTCAAATAAATCAGTTGTATTACCATAAGATTGAGTGAAAAGTTAATCTTAAAATGGCTGCCATCTTGGATTTTCAAATGAAAGATTTGACAAATACCTCAAAGACAGTCGTCATACCAAATTTGGTGCTTGTATCAAAATTCACACAATTTTTTTCTATTATCTGCTCTTCTGTTTATGTTGGTGTATTTTCATTGTTCACTGCTCTGATACGTTAAGAATAAAAAGTGATCATTTGGCCTGTGGAAACCATATCTTCTGTTTTGGTCCATTTTAGCTTTATTGAATGTAAGAGATGTATTTGGACAATTGTACAACAGCTGCACATTTTACCATGATGTGCATTATTTACTAAACTAAAATTTTACTTGAGTGTCCACTAACTTTGCATTAAAAATGTTTTTGTAGTGATTAACCACTACTGACGTGTGCGATGGGACTGGAGTCAGGGGAAGTGGCCCATCGCCTCGGCAGCCTTCACTCTCACCACAGGGTCTGGGTCTTGGAGCAGCATCACTAAACCTGGAAATGAACACAAATTAAAGCCAAAATGATCATGTTTTGAAAGAAAATAAAGGTTGCGCTTGACGTTACCTTTGGTGATGGTGGCCATGTTGAGGTGAGAGCGGTGCTCCTGTGTGAGGTTCCCCAGCAGGAAGCCTGTTGTTGGACGGGTCATTACCACCAGCTCACAACACATTTAGAGTCTTTAAAAACTCTTACCATCCTGTGTTCCATTAAATCTGACTTTTTGTAAAATGTGCATTCAATTTATAGCTGGAGCCAGGTTCCAAAGTGCTGTCATACCTATAAACATGGCAGCTGCTGCTCTGACCTCAGGCCAGTTGCTCTTGAAGAACTGGATGACTGAGATGTGGTAGAAGTTCAGCATGCCTGGAAAGTCCTGAATCTGCAAAACAAAACATTTACTGAGCAACATCACACAAGAATGAGGGGTTTCACAACAGAATGAGTTTTACTAAAACAGATCTGAATGCGTAAATTAAAAAAAAACACCTTCAGGTTTTCTACAGATGACTTATATAATTTGTTTATGTACAGAAACAAACAAACAAAAAAAACGACCATGAAATGAAACAAAATTTGATATATTTACAGAATGGTACAATGTGACTCTTACCAGGTATTTTGTGAGGTCATTGATAAACTCTCCATAGTGTAAGCTCTTGTCATCGTGCAGGTGGTTCTGAAACATGGCTGTGATCTGCTCAGATCCCACCACAGGAGCACACACTCTCATCGCAAACTTACACGCCTGTAAAATTCAAAACCCAAGTGAAGATTAGATACACAACAAATTGCTTTCTATAGTTGAGCTTTGAACAAAAAAATAAAAAATAAAATATGCTTTGAATGCTCACCTTGACCACATGTGGGTTTGGGTCTACCAGGTGCAACAGCAAGCTGACCAGAACGTTGTGGATCTGATCTTTGAACACTTGCTCCCCTGAGCCAAACTTGGAGAGGTTCCCCATCAGAAGAATGGAAGCACAGCGGATTTCATCATTATCCTGGACAAACGCAACATCATTTTTAGCCGTTACATTTGTCTGCATGAGAAAATTTACTTCCTGACTCAGAACTATAGACTAGAAATAACCTTAGGTCTGATTAACTTAATGTGACTAATATTACTCTGTAACACAGAAATTATGCTTCAAATACCTTCACATGTACAATACAGCAGTAACAGAAGAACTATCAAACATTAATCAAAAAGAAAAAATAAGTAGGTCAGCCTTATAAATACTGCTGAGTTCACCTGGAACTCCTCAGACTGAAGACGTCTCTTGGATGAGAGAAAACATTTCATTAAAACAAGAACCCATCCAGAGGACCTATTCATTTTTTCTTTTTGATTTTTCTACCTGGATTACTGAGATGCATCAGGATATCAAACCTTAATACTGCATTCAAGTTTGACAGAAAAGTGAGTTTTTTTTCCACTGAATGAACCACAAAAATAAGTTAAAGAAAAAAAAAACAGAAGATATATACAGTCCCCTCCAAAAGTACTGGAACAGCAAGTCGAATTCCATTCTGTTTTTTGTACTTGTCTCCTGCTCAGTTTTTGATCTTAAACCCAAATAAATACAAATAAAAATAAAAACAAAGATCAGGGAGTTTTCTTTGTGACAAAATGGGTAAAATTGTGTGTATTGTGCAAAGTTTCTTAAATTGTTTGACTTTTTGTATTTGAGTGAGATGCATGTCACAGGCACTCGAAACCTGACACCTTTAAATGTTGGGCTAAAACAATAAAGTCTGCATCACGGTGGAGGACGACCTTTGTAGTTTAGAACACATCAAACCAAACTCTTCTCTTGTGAGACAGGAAATATGCTGAAACTTAAAAAAATGTAAAGTTAAACTTACGCTTTCCAGGAACGGTTTGATCTTCATGAAGATATAGACTACAAGTAAATGGACGTTCTTCTTGTCCAGGTGGACGAGAACTTTAGACAGACCAGACATGGCTTCTAGGGTAATCAGTTTACCTGCAGATAATGCCATCAGATTAATTTCTGTTGTTAATGAGAACACATTTAGGGTTTAAAAACAAGTAATTTTTAGCTTAAAAGAATCTATGTAAGATATACGTGAAGCTAATATACCTGGATCATCTTTCTCCTCCATTCCTGAACTCATTGCTGCCAGCAGCTCTTTGGCGTATTTATTCACCTTAAAAGAAAAACGATATGTGAGCAAAGACTGATTACATGCAGTGAGATTTTTTTTTTTCTTTTTAAGTGTATACCTTCTCAGGAGATCCTTCTGCTATGTTTCCCAGTCCACGCACAGCCAACATGCGGACTGTGCAGCATTGATCTGAGATCCTCTCCATCATGTTGTTCATCAACACATCTATTAGCATCAGCTCCGTCACCACATGATGGTTCAACAACTGCAGGCAGGGATTGAAGACAAAATGAAGGTCCCATTATTTGTGCTGTCCTGCTGGTCATTGCACTCAGCAATTTGAGCATTCTTTCAAATAGTCTATATGATTTAAACTTCTGAAAAACATCAGGAAATAAGAAAATGGGAGATTTTTTTTTAACCCAGTAAAATACTTTTATACCTCAGAGAAGAAAGCTGTGACGGTGATCCTCTGACATTCATAGATGTTGTTCAGTGATGGGCAAAGACACTCTACGATTGCAGGCAACCTGGGACCAGCATGCTTTGCTATTGCCCTATAGACAAAAACACTTTAACATTCTAGGATACCTGAGTGGAATAAAATCATACTTAAAATGTTAATCAACAGGAAAGGGTGACGTCACACTAGACTGAGACTGTTACAGGACTAGTTGGTGACTAAAAACTGACAAGACAGCAATCAATAGAGACCAAATTTAGGGCTGGACACAAGCTGTTCTGTCACATTTTAAGTGATCAGTTTTTAAAATCACAGCCTATTTTTGTGTTTCGTGGATTGCAAAATTAGTTCATTTGTTGCCCACCTCCGCCCAAACTAAACCTGCCTCAACCCATTTATACCCTCGTGAATATTATTTACCAAATAATTTAGTTGCCAACAGTCACAGTTGAGAGAAAATAAGTTTTAGTTAAAGGCAATATTTCAACAGTTTTTAAATGAAATACTACATTTTTAAATAAGTATCTTATGCTATGATGACACAGCAGACAAAAGCAGACAAAACCTGATTTTTAATTTTTAAATGACTGATTGTGACGAATCAGATATGGACCTGATCTTTTAATTTATATGAAAAAGACCTGGGTAGGGTTTTTAAGAGTCGGATGTTTTTCAAAGCAACCTCAGTCTGAACTGTCACATTTCATCCAACTTTGACGTCATTGAAATAGGGGTACACAGACAGATTAAATTGTATGAGTGTATGGTCTCAATAGTATCAATATTTTAAAGCTCAATAATAACAACAACAATAAATCATTTGCTACAAAACACAAGTTCAGTTGCTTCTTTGTTTTATTTTTGCCATGTCATGGATGACTGAGTCTACAGCAGTGTTTCCCAAAGTTGGGGTCTGGACCCAAAGTGGGGTCCTGAAACATCAAGGTGGGGTCCTGAAAAGATTATCTGAATTAATTACATTTTTGCCTTAGTTGTTAAAGGAGTGAGGTTAGTATAAAATGGATAAATGTAGTATAAAAAAATGTTGTTACTATGCCCATGTTTAGTTGACCTGATACAAATGTTTATCATCCAAAAATTGTTGTGGGCACAGGTCTCTGCTACTGTTATTTTGTGGGTCAAAAGCTGAAAAGTTTGGGAACCACTGCACTTTGGTTCCCAAAGTTGGGCTTGGGACCCAATTATGGGTCATGAAGAACCTTGGATAATCTCCAGAAATCAATTTAAAGGGTGATAAAATAATTGCTGATGTAATACTTTTCCTATAATTATTACAAAAACACAATATAAGTATAAATAAAGTATTTATATTTGTGTACAAGCTGTTTAGATTGTCAAAAAGCCTGTGTTTTTAGGGTTATTAATGAAGTTTGTGTACTCAGACCAGTAATATTTGGGGTCACAAGTTTTTGCCATGAATATTTTGTGGGTCAGAAGATAAAAAGTTTGGGAACCACTGGTCTACAGCAACATACTACCAACGTTTTTGTTGGATTATATCAATACTAATTGGATGGGATCAATACATTTTTGTCAGTACACCTTTCCGTTCAATAAGTTTAATTTTGCAAGACCCTCACCCCCACAAAAATAAAAAATAAAATAAAAATCGGAACTATGGAAAAATGAAATAAAATGTGACTGAGCATTAGGACTTGCAGTGTGAACGCAGATGTAGTTTGACTATTTTCAGCTTTTCAAATACCATATTGGTTTACTAACTTTACACGTGTCTCTTTACCTGGCTAATAGTGTTACTCCCTTTGTGTGTGTACTTTGCTCCTTTATGGCATCCCAAGCATTATCTTCATCTAGTCTTTTCATCACTTCATCCAACTGAGCTCGTGCTAACAAAATTCTCAGAGCATCAGCAGCTACCCTGGAGCAAGAAAAAAAATATTAGTACTTGAAATAAACCTATATTTTCTGAAACATTAACACAAAAACACAAACCCTGCAACATGGATGGAAGCAGTGTGTTTCTGAGTGCTATCCTTCGGTGCCAAGACTCCAACACTTGCTCCCAGTCTGACAGTGAGGCAGGAGAAGATTTGAGGGAACTGGCTGACTGCTGGCTCCTGACTCTGCCCGTTCAACAGCAGCTCTTTGAGACCACATGTCATCTGAAACAACAGTGCACAGACATGCAAACACAGACAGCATTAGTTTCTTCTGTAGTACATTAAGTTCAAACAGCAACTAACCTAAAAACATACTCTCTAAACTACTAACAATTAAATATCACCACTTGTCTGATATAAACTTAATATCTGAACACAGTCAGTTAATACACTTGTTTGACTCACAGCCAGTGGCTGATTGGTGGCAACCTTTGTTGTCCCTCCCCTCATCAGCGACTCCTTCTTGTCCACATATGGCGCCGTGATCGCAAGTTTCTCCATCACCATCTCTATGATCTGATTGGCTACAATGGGATCAGCTCCCAAAGCCATCCACATCTCACAGGTCCAGCTGCACAATGAAACAAGTCCAATGTCCATTAAAAGGGTAAAAACAAGACAAAAATCAATAAGACTGAGGGAGTTTAATAAAACATTTTGTGACCAGCAGATGTGTGTATATACCTGTCATAAGGAAGAGGTTGGTTAATGAGCGTATTAATAACAGTCTGCAGATGCTGAGAAGCCAGGATTAGTACAGTTTGTCCCACTGCTACTCTCACCTATAAATGCAATGAAAAAAGTTATTTAACAGCAGCTAAGACCAAGTTCAAAAACAATGTACATGTCGACAAAAACAACAAAAAAGTATATTTTCATTTTATAAATAAGTACATGATGGGGTTTTACCTGCTCATCTGTGATGCTTTGCAGACGTACATGTAGCACCTCTAACATCTCAGGGACCTACAACATAAAACCAGATGAAATGAGAGAGTAATCATGGACCCAGCATCTACAATCACCATGCATATGCATGTGTGTGTGTGTGTGTGTGTGTGTGTGTGTGCGTGCGCTACCAGGTCCTGTAGTCCTGCTCCTCTGTTCTTCAGTAGAGTATTTAAGATGACAGATGAAGCTCTGCAGCAGTTTGTCTGACTGTCAGCCAGCACTTCAAACAACATGAACACCAACGTCGTGAGCTGCTGCTGAGGCAGACGCTTACTCATCACCTGACACATGCAGGAAGAGACGCAGTTACCCATCACTGTACTGGAACGGTTGTTGCTCTTACACCCTTTAGGTCACAGAATGTTATGACGATTGCATGATCATATCGTAAACATAAAAACACTGGAAAAGGAAATGTTTGAGAGCCAAAGCCATTGACAGAAATTCATTTAGCAAAATGTCAAATGTAAAACCTGCACTGACATAAGTTAAACTGAAGGCTCAAATAAAAAACATGTACCTTGGTGAGGTCTGAGCAGGTCTTGTAAAGAACTGAATGGTCGGGGTTTTCCAGCTGCTCTTTTAAAGCCAGCAGACCTTCAACAGTTTCATCTTTATAATCCAAAGAAAAGCCTGGAAAACATGTAAAACTTAATACATCAAGTACAAGTAGTTTGATTTATATTTGGTTTTCCTATTTAAAGAATAGAATACATGCTGTACAATGACATGATTGTTAAAAGACAATTAACTAAATTAATTATTCATTATCATTTCTGATGTTACAAAGGTCAGATTGGTGCATGAACATACCCTCATATCGTAGCTGTATACAAAGTAGTGTGTAAATACAGTCGATAGCAGCAGTGCGTACAGTGGGGTAAGGGTCAGAACAACGAGGAGACAATCGACCGAGCATGGCTCCAAGGTTGTGAAAGGACACCATACTCTGCAAATTACAAGTTAAGATAAAAGAAGTGAAATATGCAACATGATATTCTCTACTAATTCTGACCTCAAAGAAAATCTAAGGGTGAATTCACACCAGGAAGGTCCTTTGGTTCACTTGTTTGATCCAGATTCAAAGCAGACTTAATTTTTTTCATTTGGTGCAGCTTGCATTCACATTCTGCTTTTTTGCAAGCTGACTATAATTTATAAACAAAGCAACGCGGGTGACGATCATTGCTCCCATTGAACAGAAATGACGGGGGCAGGAGGGAGCACAGACCCAGAGATAAAGATGGTGCTGTTATTAAAACTGCAGTACCATTCAGAATTTCAAGAGCAGCTCATTTAACAGTGGGACGGTGTTGGTAAATGCGTGATTCAACTCAAAGGAGATGAGATGCTCTGCATGCCCTGACCTACAATGTAGAGCAGTGTTAGCATTAGCAACACTCAAAAGCTAATTGTTACAATGTTTCTTAGCAATGATGTCGTGAAGTCCAAAAAAGCATGTTTCCTGTAGTTGGTTCAGTTCGAGGTCAGTCTGTACTCACACCAGAAGTGAACCACACCAGAATTAATTTGGAAACGGACTAAGACCACCTCCAAAATAAGTCTTGGTCCACACCAGGGTCCACATGAGTATATTCACATCTTCATAAAAGCTGGAACAACAGGAGAACCAAAGTCTGATAAATTTAAAGCAGACCAAATGTTTTAGGTGTGAATACACCCCAATAAATATTAGCATTGTTGTTAGGTTTTACTTGAGACCACTAAAGACTGTATACTGTTCCTGTGACAGCTTGAATGATTAAGTGTAAAGACAGTAGACGATTTAATACAACTGGTTCAGTAGTTTGTATGTTTATCTTTAAATCTACCATGTTTCATATGATCTGCAGAATCTGTGTTATCTTGTCTGTGCACCTTGACACTGAGGTTATCCAGATAATAGGAGAGCATGTGGGCGGTGGTTGTGATGGCCCTCTCTCTCTCGTGGTCGTGTACAGAGCCCAGCCAGGATTCAATGTGCTGAGGAAAAAAAATGTTTACAAACAAGACTGAACTGAACTCAGCTAAAGTTTTATTTTAGCTGATTTGATTTCATAATCAAATATTGGCCTCAAAATGAAAGATCCATGTTTAAAAGATCAGGCCTCACCTTGAAGACATTCTGTAAGCCATCAGGTGTGGGATCTCTGGCCAGGATGTTCTTCAGCAGCTCCTGCAGAGCAGCTAGTGTGTCTCTGTACAAAGCCTGAACAAATAAGCCAGAGTGTATTTGGTTGAGCACATTACTGTCTTTTAAAAGTTGTCACACATGGAATCATACTGTCTTTTAAAGTTGTCACACATGGAATCATCAAGATTTTTGCATTTAGTGAAACATATTAAATGTTCACACTGTAGGTCTGACATTGGGCTGACACAGCAAATAAGTCATTCTTAATGTTTTGCCTGATTAAATAAAGGTTAAATAAAAAAATAAAAATAATGCTCAATGCTGATTTTTTGGTGTGAATGTTCACATTACATTTTAAATGTGACCTACATCAGACTCCAGTGTGAAAGCTCCACAGCACTGATTGTGACCCGCATGTGCAGAAAAGACATGACGTCACATTCAGCCAGCTTGTTTGTTTACAGTTAGCATGAATGCTACTTTTAGCATGTCGAATCTAAAGTTGTTGATCAGTCAAAGCCGATTAAATTATTATCTGACATGCTTGTTTAGTTTAAAGTTTACATCTGAACCTGGCTCCGACCTGATGCTCCGGAGAAGCATTTTATTTGTGGAACGAAGCAACGAGCTGGAAGTAAAGTATCTCCTGAGACAAAATAAAAATTTGAATGGAAACTGCATTTGCCTGCAGTGTGAACGTAGCCAATGACTTAACCACAGAGATATTATTCAATACAGACACACATTTCTCACCTTTCTCTGCTTAGGGTCCAGTACCACCTCCTCTTTGGTTTTCTCTGGAGTGTGTGTCTCAGGTGGAAGAGAAAACACACCATTCACACAAACTTTTAGCAAATCAAAGCTCTCGTTCTCACTCAGTGGGGGGTCCAGGGGTCTTAAGTTCTTATGGTCAAAGCTTAAAACTGTGGAAACTCAATCTATTGCAACAACCAAGAAGTGTGTGTCTTTGTGTCAAAAACATGTAATAACTTTCATCTGTTCTCCTTTAAAGTAGACACATGCTTTTAAATTCTTCTTTTTCACAGCTTCTAGACTGGTCCACCCTTGCTTGATAGAGGGATTCACGATTCTGTTGCGGTGCAGAAATATTTACATATTATTAAAAAGATGTCAACAACAGAAATATCCTAGCTTTTTGGCAAGAAGGATACATAAGGTTTGCACATGTGGTCATCACTAGAGGGCGTAACGGAGTCTTCAAAGAATCAGCTGGTTCTGACTTTATAAAATCCTAAAAAATGGTTTTTAACAAAAGTACAGGAAAAGAAACATAATTATTGTTGTATCTGCAGTGGCATTAAATATGACACTGTGCTACTGACCAGCATGACAGTAATGAGTTCCTGCTTGCGAGAAAAGATGTAGCCCTGTTTCTTCACACACTCACTGATGGCTTTGGCTACGAGTCCAACACTCTGGATCAGACTGAGCTTCATTGTCAGGTCCTGAATCAGAGCAACATGCAGATGAACAAAAGAGAAATAGAAAGAACAAAAAAGGACAAGTTGAAGACAAAAATACTTAGGCACAAAGACTTTTTCGAAAGAAAAGAAAGAAAAAGTCACTTTAATGCCAAAGCAAACTTGGAATCATCCAAACAAAAAATCAATCCAAAAGTGAAATTGTAGATTGATCCTCCATGCCTATAGATGGAGAGAAAGTTACAGGATTAGGAAAAATTGGCACAAAAGCTAACCATGTGCAGTGACCAAACAAAGCATCAGAAGAGCCAGAAGTGTTGAGACAGTGTAAGAAATTAGCAAAGTTACTAAAAAGCCACTTCACACCGATTATGAGTCACTGGCGAGCATTTAAAGAATAATCCACCACAAAGCAACGATGTTAGGAAAGTGAGAGCAGAATCTAGTGAAGGTCAGAGAAAATTTTCACCATAAAAAGGATTGAAGCATATTTTTACCACTACACACAGACAAAACTAAATGTATACAGTTTATAAAAACAGCTGAATAATTCAAAGTTTTCTTTAGAGCGTAATGTTCTTTTACAAATACACGGAATACAATGTTGCAGACCTGAGTACTTTTATTTTCACCTTAACTCCTGGTAGAATGTAAAATTGTTCATTGTAGAAATAAATGTAACACTGTTTTTGTCTCCAAACTATGGCTATCAAACAGTCAGGAAACAATAAATAAAAAAAACTAAGAGACCAAAACTGTAATAAAAGTTTGAAAACTGTACTTTTTAAAAACCAATGGATTTGATGTTATCAGCCAATCCAGTTGATATAAACTTATAAACCCTTTCATGTTTCTCAATAATAGTCATTTATTTATTTTTTTAAATTAAACGAATAAATGAATAAAACTAAAACTTCTAATTCTTCTCAAAGTAAATTAATTTTGGCTGTTCTGAACTATTATCAATTAGAAGAGATTTCCTCTGGCTTATTCCTGAGCAGGTTCTCACCCAACCTGGCAAACGTTCACATTTCCTCCTTTACAACATCCATGGACTTCCTGTGCTTTTCCACTTTGGTAAATCCACATTCAACATCCTTTATCTAATATATACTTTCCCACCTCTGCACATGCCCACACCATCTCAACCTAGCCTCTCGAATTATGTCTGCTTCAAATGATTCATTTAAACTAAAAAGAGAAAATCGCCAGCTTTAATCACCAACCCATTATGTTAGTAAAGATTATTTGTGTGCGTCTGAAAAACAAACTGTATTTTCAAAATGAAGTTTTGAAACTACAGCTTCACAGACAATCAATTGTCCCAGTGCTCAACCATCACGAAACTTCACAAAACATGTTTTCAAGCTTAAAAACCTTAAAGAACAAGATTTTGATTTACCGGGCTCGGGAGTTTCCTGAAAATTCTAGAGGCTAAAACAAGTGGTGTTGGGAACTGAGATCTAAATAAGCCAGAAGAGCAAGATAAAGCTGGAATGTGAAAGGATAAAAAAAAGAAAACCAAAGCCCATTTTTCTTGTAGCAATACCTTCGTCTCTACTTTAATCCCCAGAACCTGTATAAAGAAAGAGGTGACAGTGTAGTGAGCTCCTCAACCAATACTGCACAATCATGACATCTTTAGGTTTGACAGTGACAAGCAGGAAAAGATAAATATATAAGTTGAATTTAGTTATGTGTAAAAATAAAATGTTGAGATCAGACAATAATACAACTAAAAAAAAAAGGTATAGTGTGTACATGTACACAGACTAATTTCTCATAAACTGATCAAAATGTCTTGTTTGTGTCGACTACTGCATGTTTAATAAAAGTACCAGCAAACAGCAGAAAAAGTATTTACTGATAATAAAATGAATATAAACAGAGTACATAATCTCATGCAGCTACCTTGGTATTGAAGTGTTTACTGATGCAGCGTAAGATGTCCTCATCAATGCGATTGAGAATCTTTTCTGGTGGTGCATTCAAGGCCACGTGACCGTAGCACAAAATTAATGTGCTTTTCACCTTCTCCACCTCAACATCATTACGGTCCTGTGGCAAAGACAAAATAAGAGTGAAACTGTTTTGAACTAAAGAAACTGTAGTTTAAATGGAATTTATGTGACATGCAGAAAAACAGCGTTTGTACCTTCAGCAGGTTGAAGATGCTCGGTGACTTTTTGAAAGCGTCTGATTTACCAAATTCATCGAGTTTGGCTAAAGTTCCCTCTAAATGGCTGTTGGCACACAGACCAACACTCATTGCCACTCCCTAAGGGCAGAAGTAAGAAGTTAGACCAATGTAAAGCCCAATACATGGACTTACTTATTTACAACATGTGTTTTATGCTTCAGTTACCTCTCTTTCCACAGCATCGTTGTGTCTTGCTGTGAGGAGGACTTCCTGCAGTTGCTTCTTCACAACCTCCTTATTGAAACACTGCTGGAGAGTCACTCCAATGCACCGGTACAGAAAGCTCTAAATATGCGAAAACGGAAGAAGTTTGTATTTATTTACATTGTGTCAGCGTGTCCACAGCACTAGTGTCATTGTTTGCAACCACTTATTGCACCTGTCCAGTGCTACACTTGGAATTATGAAAATTTACTATTTTATTTTATTCGCCTAACAAAGTTGTTGCTGATGTCTTTAACTTCAATTGACAACAGGAAATGTTACTGTCGACAGGATGCCATCACTGAGATTTAAAATAAAAATGAAAGAGAGAAGTGTGATTTTATTATACGGTAAATTGGCCTGCCATTAACTTTGCACAACTCAAGCATGTTGAGTGCACAACAAATGCTATCGTTTACTCAAAATTAAAAACCATGTGGATATCAGTTTCACTGACTGTTCAATTATGTGGCACAAAAATAACTCCAGAACACTTCCTGCCTGGTATTATGTTTCTGCTGCAAGGAGGAGGCCCACGCTCCAAATTAACTGGACATGCAAATAACAAAAATAGTTTGGGGCGCAAATTATATAATTGGTTTGGAAGTCATTATCAGGTAATTTGTGCATATTCCTGACATATCCTCACAAACGTGAACAGCTGTGGGCACAGGTAATGAATTTAATTCTATTAGTTTTGCATCTGATTAAATAAACATCAAGTTCTGTTAGATTTTTCAAATCTGGGTCAAGCGCATTAAACTTGGCATTGTGCATTTTTACTTGAAGTAATTAAAGTGACAAAATTATAGACACATGAGAAAAGTGTTTTTAGGACTGCACCTATCCTAGTTCCTCAAATACTTAAAAAACAATTAGACTATTATTCTAACGACCACTCAAGCTATCGGTTTGAAGTCAGGCAATTTGACGAACTATCTAATAATTACAGATTCTGTCACGGTCTTCCAAAGTCTGTGTAACAGACTATTGCCAGCAACAATGCAGACAATGGCTGTGTCTCCATTCAGGGGTTGTAGCCCATGTAGGCAGCGACCCACAGAGGCCACAACCTTCAAGGTCTGGGTAGTCTGCATAAAACAGCTGTTAATGAGACAGTTTAGTCTTTGGATGACTTACGGTAAGTTTGTGTGACCATGCACCTTCCCATTACTATAGTGTTTTGTTTTATACCACAGGCCTTCAGACACAATGCTTTGGAACATGTATTACCATCTTTTTACAAGGGGAGTAACTTCACAAAATTTAATGTGTTTTTTAAAAAGTTACATGTAAATTAGCCTGGTAAAAACCAGCCCCTTGTTCTTCGCTTTGCTTCGTATAAAAAAGGAGCAGTGAAGGAAAACTAGAATTGCGCAGAACTGTGTAGGAAGGCAAGGGTCAGGCTACATGTAAATAAACATTAAAAATATGGGTTCAGCTCCAGTATCGTGTTTGCAGTTGCTATTTATTTAACATCTTATGGCAGCATAGATTTCATCAGATAAGTTAACATACATTTAAAAATAAATTTTGTCCATAATGAATTTCCAAACTCTGCCGTCTTTGTTTTTCTGTTTAGTTTAATGTTTGCACAATGAAGCTTAGGCAACTGTCTGCCATGCAGGCTATGCTTGGGTTTTGTGGGACAGATTTGTTGGCCACGTGAGAAAGAGCCCATGAAAAAAAGGATAGAGTCACAGCCCCGTCATATTTCCCTCCAACTTTCTTCTTCTATCTGTTAATGTCGTTACTGAGGGTCTGGTCCCACATGACTTCCATTTTGTGGAGTGAGTTTGCAGCGTTTCCTGCAGTTGTTTTTAGGTTTTATTAGTGTCTTCGGTATTTGCAGCTTGCTTTTGTTTTGTTGATTATACATTTTTGCTTCTGTATATTTTTTGTGATTGCAGCATTTTTTCCCCTTTTGTAGTGTTATTCTGTGCATTTGTTCTTAAAGAGTAACTTATCCCAAAATTAACTTTTTTTAGCTGATAAACTGTCTAGAATGTGTCTAAAATGTTATATAGTACTGTTTCTGCGCTAATTTTGATGTTTTTGTG